CCACCTGTCCTCTTGCCCTCGTCCTGGCACCTGTCGTATTCCCAGACTCACTGTGATACTCCCATGTCTTGAGATAAGACTCATCTCTGTTCCCAGATTTTTTTTAAAAATTTATTTTTATAGTTGTTCATGATTACATTCAATATTCCAACATCAACTCCACCACCACCATTACACCTTCCCACCACCATTATTTCCAATTTTCCCACCACCACCCAAGCCTGCCCCAATACAGGCCCTCCGTATTTTATTTTGTATTGCTTATTAATTTGCTGAAAATGATCAAAAAAAGATTTCCTTAGAAAAGTGTTGGGATTATTGCATCTCACCCTGGAGAAATCATGCCCGTGTATAAGAGATTACTACCATGTTTGTTAACATATGCTTACTCAAGATTGGTTGCTTTCTATTTTATATCCCGTCCACTGTGGTGTGCTCCTCCTAGTATATCACTGGTGTAGTTTGAGGTGTTGTGCAGCTGCATTTGTGGCCACGCACTCCAGGAATTCTAAAGTTTAAATGGTGATACAGCTCAAGCTAAACTTTTAACTGGATGATGATTTTGGGGTCCAGCATCTCTGAAGCTTGTTGCTCTCTTTTGAGATTTATTTATTAGTCTCTTATTCCCAGAGTTTCATACTCTTTGTCTGTTCAAGACTTCATTGTTTAGAATGGAGGTGGGGTGGGCAGGCATTACAGAGAAGAGGCTACAGAAATTCATTTCACAAAGACCACGACCATTTGCACACTTGTCTTAACGCATTCTGACGTGTTTAGTGTTCAGGGTGAATCCAAAGTCTCCACAGGGCATAACTTAGCTTCCTGAGATGGCCCCATCTGCCTCTGTATCATTTCTTCATCCACCTCTGTATGAAAGTTGTTATCTATGTACTTCCTGTTTACTTCATGCTCCTGGCTTGTGCTGCCCTGTGCCAGGACCCACCCTTAAGCTCTCCTGCCTTAGTCCTACCCCACTTGTTTCCACTAAGACAGAGCAGTCTTTGGGCACAGTAGCTGGCTACTGTCCACTGGCCCAGCCTGCCTGCTCACTGGCTGGCCTGACTCCCTGCTTGTTCGGCCTCACTACTCATGTCTTCTGAAAAGAAATACTTGTATAAAAAAAAAATTAGTGTTTGTGTGAGCAATATGTAATGTTGTTTTCTATGCTCCCCTTTTTTTAAAAGGTAAAAAGCATAGTAAAATTTTCAGCACATTCTTGAATCTTTGAAGAATCATCAACTTATGGAATGCACCAGCATACATATATTCATGTAATGCACCATTTTATAGTAGGGATGTTACTTCTTCCACATACTATGGGTGTGGTTTGCCTTGCATGAGGCCAACCCGGGTTTGATTCCCAGCATCCCATATGGTCCCCTGAGCACCGCCAGGAGTAACTCCTGAGTGCAGAGCCAGGAGTAACCCCTGTGCATCGCCAGGTGTGACCCAAAAAAGAAAAAAAAAGGCCCCTTTATTATATTTGTACAGTTCCTTAACCTCCATACATAGCAATGAACTGACAAATAGATGCTAAATAAATTAAAAGCAGATGTGTTTTAGGTTCTGAATACTTAAATCACTTTGTGACTTAGAAGGCAAGTCTAGAAAATACTGCATACTCACCCAAACTCTGTAGTAAAACCACATGCAAGGCAAGCGTCTTTTTGTACTATCTCTCTGCCTCAAATTCTACTCACTTAAAGTCTATGACCAATCTCAACAACTTGGTATTGTGTAAAATAACCAAATGTCAGTATTGTCAAAGCTCATACTATCTTAGTCATCGTAAATTGAAAGCATTTCAGTCCTGTCACTTTGACAATTTGACAAGCAACAGACAGAGCTGACACCCTGGAGAACTTGGAGTCAAAAAAAGAAATGTTTTGAAAGCACTCTGGTATAGGTTGAAAAGAAATATTCTAGTTTCTCTTGTCAAAATTACTAGAATTCCACCTATTTTGAGGTTGGGCAGATGGCATAGAAGTCAGAGCAGTGATCTATTAGTTTTTGTTGGATGTAATGAGTGGAGTGGTTGTCACTGGTCTTCACAAAACATGCTCAGATAACATTTTTACTTCATTTATTTCTTCCAGTCACTTCATACAGCATTTCAATTCATAAACAACATATATGTATACGCACATATACATATATATTTCATAAATAAAACCAACAATTCCTAGTGACAATGGCAAAAATCACACTGGAGCTGTAAAAAGTCAGGTTATCTCCCAGGGAAGAGCAGTGCATCGACTTCGAAAATTGCTAACAAACAAAAGACCATTTATGTAAGAGAATACATACTGTCTTCATCACTAAAGCTTATTTTGCTTATACCAAGTAAAAGAACTTTTGTTGTTGTTCCCTATTTTTTCAAGTCATGTCCTAGAGGTTTAAACAAACCTCAGTTTTGTGGTTTCCCTCTTGCTTCAGGTACCTCCAGCTCAACTGCACTAACAGGGGAAATAAAGGAATAGTGTCCTTTTCCAGCTCTTAGACAGGCTATAGTCACTGTGTATCTTAAGCAGAATTCAATACTTCTGTAAAGTGAGTCCTGAATGGCACCTGGATGCTGGGGGAAACTGATAGGAATGTGGTACACTGGTCCCTGGAAGCACAGTGAGGGCAACAACTCACTGAACACTTGGACACCCACTCAAAGTTAGGCTCATGTAATTGTGGTAGGAATTGTACATTGTTCTTAAGTGAACCTTCTGTTGACCACAACTTAAGACAGCTTTACAATTATTAGCTCCTAAATGCTTTACAATTATTAGCTCCTGTATTTTTAAAAGCAGGTATAAAAAGTTATCAGGCATTATAAGCAAAATGCTTATAATCATGACTTTATACTTTTAACGTCAAGCTCCTCACTTACTGTCCTGCTACATTCTGTGCTAAGAAATAGGGGTGGTACATTGTGGCAACGGCATTGCTTGGGAAATGCTCCAGAGCCTAGGTCACGAGGAGGAACATGCCCAGGTGTCCTGGTTCTCTCCCTTTCTAGTAAAACAGTGTGGCCTAGCAAGCTCTTAGATTCACATGCACCAAGGCCCACATCAGCATAGTCAGCACCAATATAATCACTCCTTCAAACAACTATGCCAGCTAATTTTTGAAATTGGGAAAAAAAACAAAGCAAACCAACATTTGTTCACAATCAGGGGGACTTTTTTAAGCTGGATGAAATATGCTCACCCATTCTAATTCTTAATGGAAAACATTTAAATTAGTATATTATATTCACATCAATTTAGACAAAAAATGCTGCTTGTAAATGACGGTTATAACCTGACTCAAATTTCATCTCCCTTAGTTTCTCAAGAAGCAAACAGAGTATTAAGACTCTTGGCTTAATATATAACACTCAGAGTGCTATAGTCATTCCTGGGCTGCAAGGAAAAATATGAATATTTTATTATCTGAATGATAAAAACAATCACATTACAGGAAAAAGTAACATTCTGAACATCAGAGCACAATAGTCATTGAAGCTGAATTCTACCTTATCAAAACACTAGAACACTGTGCCACTGGTTACAATACACACTGATGAGGCAACTGAGCAAGAACACATCATTAGGAATTCCATTTAATAGATTGTAAGTCTGTAACAAGATCCCTGGAAAGGACATACATGTAAACTTTTACCTCATTTTAAAGTGCTGCAAATAATGTGTCTCAACACATGAAGTAACATGAGTTCTAATATATGTTAAAATCAACCTGATTTAATAAAATCATTCTATTGTACTCCCCATTTTGAAGTTCTCACTAAAGACGCAGTGAAACTAGGTCAACCTAGGGCAACTTGAAATTAATTACGTCTTAATGCCCACACAGAATAGATAAGTTCAAAAAGCATCTTAGGCATGGGCACTCAGGGTACGGAGAGATACTCACTCATTCCTGAGCACGATTTCCCTGGGTCTGTCTAGAGCTTTGGGAAATGGCATGACTATTAACTTCTGGCAACAGGATCAAGTTCAACAATCTAACCTTCAAAGGAACCACTTCACGGGGCCTGTTTTTTGCTCACAAGAAATAGAAATCAGTATGACCTGTTAGCAGATGATGCATCCCAGTCACTGAGTTACAAAATTCCCTGGACATACTGAACTTAACTTGTGAAATCCTCTTAGAGAAGTGCATCGTTAAAGCCCTTCTCCTAGTCAATAAATCCAAAAGAAAAGTAAGAGGAAAGAGGGAGTGAAGGGAAAAGCAAAACCACCATTGAAACCAATTTTTTGCCTGGTGGTTAAATATGGTACAGGAACTGATGTGTTTCATTCTGTTCAAGGGCAAACCTGAAATTTCCTTTTATTCCAAGTCCTAAGCCCATAGGTTTTCAAAACTCTAAAAGTCAAAACTTCTAAATAATCAGAACTTACATGAGTTCAATAAGAGCTATTCAAAAAATGTCCTTACATTCTCTGACTATAAGCTTGAGTTTAGGATGAGCACAAACTCAGGCTTTTAATTTATTAAATCAAACGGTCCGCAAATAGAGCTTCATCTTTAATTTCACAGGATAAGAACATGATTTAAAGAATTAATACTCTCAGTAGTTGGACCAATTTAAAAAGGTATTTCATTTGAATGTACTGGGACCAACTGGTATATGGACAACCTAGGTAATAGGGCACAGAGAATAAAATAAGAATTCATGAATAAATACTTCACATGAAGGTATAATCTTAAATGTGTCAACAAAAAAACAATTAAAATGACAGAATCCTATTCTATTTCTATATGTTAGAGTTAACCTAATACAGATAAAAATATAATACTCAACTTTTTGGAGCGATAGCACAGTGGGTAGGGCGTTCGCCTTACAAGCGGCCAACATGACCGGCCCGAGTTCGATTCCTCCGCCCCTCTCGGAGAGCCCGGCAAGCTACCGAGAGTACTCGATATGCCCGGCAAGCTACCGAGAGTACTCGATATGCCAGACACAGTAACAACAAAGTCTTCAATGGAGACGTTACTGGGCCCGCTCGAGCAAATCGACGATCAACGGGAGGGCCTTTACCTTTACCTTTACTCAACTTTAAAGTTACAAGGATTTCTGCTGGGAAACAAACCAATGCATGCCTGGTACGTTATAAATGATTTAATATATATGTTGTGTGAATAAGACTTTTTCAAAATTTCAGTAAGCAAGTATCAGGTTTGGCTCAAGTACCTAAAAAAAGGTAAGCTTGTCAGATGTTACCCAGTGGTAGGATTTCTAACACATGATTCTAAATATAATATTTGCTGGGGGAAATAAAGATGCACAAACCACTTAAACTAGACATCAGAGAGTATAAAGAGATTTTCAATAATATCCATTTGTACATACTATGATTGCCAAACATTTGAGTATTGCCAACTCACAAGGGCTATTTTTAAGGCTCAGAACATAGAAAATCAAACACTTTCAAGTGATTCCCATCATAACACCTCAGGTTGCCTAAAATGGCTATGCACACTAATGTCATGTAACAGTTTCAAGTATGCTTTTTGAATTGTTCATTGAAGGTACTTTAACCCCTAAATTGCTTACATGTTCTCTGACTTTATAAGGACTGCCTTCAAGAAGACAGTTATCAAAAGCAAGTATCATTTTCAAAATACCTGCCAAGATATGCTGAAAGTATCCCACTGGTTTCCTAAGTGATATTTGAATAAAAATGAGATAATAAAACTTCACGACATTAAATCTCACATGACAAATTACAAATCTAGCATCCCTGGTCTTCAGAAGAATTAAGAGGTAGAAAACTTCTATCTGAACGATCTCCTAGTGAAGTGACTCTCAGAGGGCACGCCCGGGCACAGCCCCCCAGCAAACGGCTAAGCATCTACTTATCAAGAAGTCAAACTCTGAGAAAGCTCAATAAGGCAAGGATTAAATTAAATCCATCCATGCAAATTTTTACATTAAAAAACAAAAATCAAGCACTCAAATTTGGGCACCTCAATAAAAAGAAAAAAAAACACCTTTCAGAATTTCATCCAAATATGACAAAGATTAATAAATGAATCACATTCATACGTGAGGCCAACATTCTTTTAAAGCTTCAGTAAGCTACTCAGGCACATTTTCCCTCATTTATTCTACTCTTGTACACAAGAAACCCTAAATCAGGCACTATGAGCTCCTGTTTTTAGGTAATTCCTTTCCAAGGAATAGACATCCCTGTAAAAACTGCTTCACGTGTACTTAGAACCAAAGTACATTTACAAAGTCTACCAAATGGCAATACAAAATCAGGTGTGATGATTCTGATATCTTCATCTGAAGAATCAATTCATAATCTAGAAATTATCAACTCAAGTTTTGTTTTGTTTTTTTAAGGACCCAATGACTGCAGACACGGCCATTGCTGTCCAGTGGCCTCCCATGAGGCAGTCCACATGACCCACAATGGAAAGTCCTTTTCTTCTACCAGTGATTCTGCCAGCTGCTAGTCTCTAATACTAACATGCAATCTTCGGGGCAGTGTAGCACGGAGCACGGGCCACCTATTCTGTCACCCCAGCAGAGAGCGGGCACGTACCACCACCGTGGACACATCTGTAAACTTGCACACTAATTTTTAATAGTAACAAGGAATGTCAGTGTCTTAGTGGCTTTAATAAGGTTGGTTCAAGCATCCTGTCCTTTGTTCTTTAGGAACACAAGTAGCTTATTAAGAACCCAGGGCCCCTGGGTCTGAGGTAGCAGGCTTCGACCCTCAGCGGGCAGAGGTCACACTTCCCCAAAACTGGTGTGGCCGGTCTCCTTGGCGTGCTCCCTGGCTTCGGCTTGGCCCGTCAATCCCTTCTGACACACCATGCACCGCAGGGTGAAGCGGTTCACGTCCGTGAACTGTCTCTTCCTCCGCGCCTCGTCGGCCAGCTCCAGCGCTTGCACGAGAACGATGTCGTCGTTGGCGGAGAAAATGGTCAGAGGGGGGGTGTCGGGGTCGGGGAAGTCCCGCTGGAGCGGGTCGTAGTGGATGCCGTCGTAAATGAGCAGGACCCTCTTGGAGTAGCCCGCGTCCTCCCCGAAACGGTCGATGCGGACGGTCTGCGTGTCCACCACGCAGATCTCGCACTGGTAATACTTGGACAGGATGGCGATCTCGATGGCCCCTCCCCAGGTGTCGTCCCTCCGGATCCAGTCACAGTACTCTCGGTTGCTCTTGCCCAGAATGGCCTCGCTGTAGGCGTCGGGGTCGCTGGCCACCGTCTGCGCGATGAGGCGCCGCATCTCGGGGGCGCAGGCGGGGTCCAGGACGCCGCCCTCCACGACGTAGTGCACGCTGGTGAAGAGGCACGAGTTGTCGGCGGGGACCGGGGTCCTGCGCAGCGTGGGGCCCGGGGTCCCGGGGCTCGCCCACGCCGCCGCCGACGCGGAAGTGCGGGGCCTGGCCGGGTCCTCCTCGACGATCAGCATGTCCCCTGCCGGAGAGAAAGCAGACCGAGGCTGCAGGCGGACCCGAGGCTGCAGGCGCCGGCCCCGCGGTGCGCGGACCGGCAGGGAGAACCCAGGGCCACGAAGCGCCGACTCCCAAGCACGCCGGTGGCCACGACCCGGGGAAGGAGGGACACCCGCTCGGCGTGACCTTCACCCGGCCGGGGACAGAACCTGCGGCCGCCGCAGACCCGCGGGGCAAGGGGCAGGGTGGCCGCGGGCTGCCCGCGGCGCCCCCCGCCCGCCCGCCCCGCCGCGGCCCCCCGGGACGCAGCAGGGCGCCCACGCCGCTCCGAGGGGCCGCGGGCGCGAGTGCCCGCCCCAGAGCAGCGCGCAGCCGGGCCCCGGCCACCCCCGGGCACCCCACCCGGCCTCACCCGACTGCAGGGGCAGGTCCCCCAGCGCCGTGTCCCCGTCGCTGAGGTCCAGGCACTCGGGCGGGTAGCCCGCCAGGATGCGCTGGCCGCCCGGGGCGATCCCGGTGACCGCGGCGATCTGGCCCTGGAGCTCTCGCACCGGCGTGCGGCTGGACAGCCCCTGCAAGACGTAGGTCCCGTCCTTGGCCTTGCAGCGGAGCCGCCACATGGTGCCCGCCGGGCCGCCCCCCGGCGCGACCCCCTTGGCAGGGAGCGCAGCGCCGCCGGGGAAACCGGCCGCCGCGCCGGCCCCAAGATGGCCGCCCTTGGCCGGGCCAAGCATCGCGAGGACTCCGGCCGGCAGATCTCGCGCCGCTGGCTCGGCGCCCACCTCTCGCTCCCGAGCGCGGACTCTCTTAAAGGGCCCGCGCCGCCTCGCTCGGCGCGCTCGGCTGCCTGCCTGCGGGTCGGACTCCAGGCTCCGACCGTATATATGCTCCCGGGAAAAGGCGGGGAAGGGGCGCCCGAATGACTGCAGCGGCGCGTGACCGGCTCCTAGGGAGGTCGGAAATGAGTAAACTGCGGCTCGCAAACAGCCCGCGCCAGGCCCGGCGGGATGCCTAGGATGCCCGTGAGTCAAAGGCGGCAGCCGCGCACGACAGGGTCGCGCCGCCCCATCGCTGACTCATTGGGGTCACCTGCTGCGGCTCAATGACCAGTCCACCCGCCACAACAGAAAGCTAGCGACATCAGCGTGGGCGAGCCACGCGGGCGCCCCGAGGGAGGGTCCCCCGGCCAGAGCTGGGCCCGCGACATCCGGACGGAGCACTGCACCGGCGCGCGTGGGCGCGACACCGCTGGCGCGGGGGAGGGGCCGGGACTCGGCGGCCCCGCAGTGCTAGGCACAGACCTGTGCAAAGGGACCCGCACGCGCGGGGCTTGGTGCGGCCGCGCAGGGCGCCGGGGCTGATCTGCTAGACTGTGGCCAGTGGAGAAAGACCCAGACACCGTGAAGCCGCTTCTCATCCGAGGAACCTCGCTCACTGCCCAGAGCAGCGAGTAGCCGCTTGGATGTTGACGGCGGACCCGAGCGCCGGGCATGCCTGCAAAGGGGGCGTGAGGCGCCCGCCCAGCCCGGCGGTCCCCGGAGACCCGGGCACAGCGTGCGGGACGGACGGCGCAGGCGCGGGGCCGCGGGGCCGGCGGGAGACGGGTTGCTCGTGCCTGGGCGGTGCCAGGGCTCAAACCCAAGCGCGCTTCCACTGCCTGGCTCAAGGGAGGGAAACGCCAGTCCACGGCCCCGGGCCCCCAGAAAGAGGGAGGCGCCCCCTAAGCAAGACCGCGCCGGGCTCGTCTCTGGCGAGACCGCGAAGAGGCTCGGTCGGCCCGCCCCCGGCGTTGCCGGGCAACGCGCTGCCACGCCCCCGACGAGCACGGACTCGCGAGCTTTGCCGCTAGGCTCCGCTCCCTGCCCGAGCCCCGCCCCCGCTGTTGCCGGGCGACGCGCCGCCACGCCCCCGGCGAGCGCGAACTCGCGAGCTTTGCCGCTAGGCTCCGCCCCCTGCCCGGAGCCCGCGCCCGGATTGGCCCCCGTTTTCGTCCAGGTGAGCTCGGCGGCCTCCACGTGACTCGGCGGCCGCGTCGGCGGTTCCGGCGGGCGCGCGGTGAGCGGGGCGGGGAGAGGGGTGGGCGTCAGGGCCCGGGGGTGCGGACCCCGCGCAGTGGTCGGGGCTGGGCCCCCGCACCGCGGCCTGGGCGCGGCGGCTTGGAGCGAGCTCGGAAGCTGCAGCGGGCCGGGGCGCGCCGCAGGTGACCTTGGGGCCGGGATCTACGCGGCTCCCGGCGTCGGGCCGGGGCGTGGCCTGGGGAGAGTCGCTTGGGTCCTACCTCCAGCTGCGCTTCTACGGGGACGCGGCTCCCAGGTGGCCCCCGCAGTTGCAGCGCCGGAGTTTCTGGGTGATGAGCTCGATTTTTTTCCCCTTCCACCCCGGCCCTGTACCCCCAGCCTGCACACACGCGCGCACACACACCCAGCTGCTGCCGCTGAGTCGGCTGTCGGAGTCTTAGACTAGAGAAGTGCTCCTTCAGCAGAGTAGGCTTCATCGCGCACACGCACACACACACACGCACACCCCGCTGCTGCCGCTGAGTTGCTGCCGGAGTCTTAGACTAGAGCCGGGAGTCCGGAGGGGTTCAGGTCAGGCCACTGATCCCTGCGAGTTAAGTTCTTCCACCCACGCCGAGAAGTGCTCCTTCAGCAGCAGAGCCGGCTTCATCACACACACACACACACACACACACACACACACACACCCTGCTGAGTCTGCTGCCGGAGTCTTAGACTAGCGCCAGGGATCAGGAGGGGTTCAGGCCACTGATCCCTGCAGGTTAAGTTTTTCCACCCACGCGGAGAAGTGGTCCTTCAGCAGAGTCGACTTCATCACGGGACTTTAGGAAGTGTTGAAGAGAGAAAGTTTGTGTGAGGCTTGATCCCTAAACTGGCAAGGTCTCCTGGAAGCCTGTTGGTGGAGAGGAAGCAACAGGGAGCCCCAGAGCCTGGCCAAGTGGGGAAGGAGATGGGCAGGGCATCCAAGGCTGGCTCTGCTGCTCTTCCCCGGTGCAGGATTTCTTTCCTTACAGCCCTCTTGTTCTTTCTAGACGTCTCTCGGAGAACTGCCATGTCTGGGAATCCTGCGCCCAACCCAGAACAGAACAACAACAGCTATGAGCCCAAACCCTCCAGCTTCCGCATGTCTGAGAAGAAATGCTGTGAGTTCTGGGAATGAGGGACTGTGTCCCCCAGGGAGCGTGGTTGTAGCCCTAGACTTTGCAGTGGTGGAAGTGAGAAGTAATTCTTTGACATAGGAATGTGAAAGGGTCAGTTTGGTAAACTTCCTGTCTGAAACCAGTAGTCAGTGGAATGTCTGCCTTAACCCAGCAGATATGTTTTCTTAAGCTGAGTCTGGGTCACCTGGTGGATCTGGGTCCTGGAACCCCACAGAGCAGGCAACCTGAGATGACACTTGTGGTGGTGTGCTGGATTGCTCCTGGTTCACGTGCAGTCTCTGATGGGCAGTCTTATGTGGTGGAAGCTGGGTACTGCAGAAATGGCAGGCTGTATCTGTGGCTGACGTGAGGGTGGTACCCCTGGAATTTGACCCCTCACCCTGTCTTGGGTGTCTTGTTTCTCCCCGGTTTAGCCTCTGCTTTGCAAACTTTTTGTTGTTGTCTTCGAGCCACAGCTGATGGTGCTGAGGGGCTACTTGTGGCACAATCCTCAGGAGTCATTCCTGGGGTGCTTAGAGGACCGCGTCATACCAGGAACTGAACCCATGCTACAGCCTTACGCGTGAGAGCAAATGTTCCATTGCTGAGCAGCGTTCCCAGCCCTCCCGAGGTATTTCCTCTGCTGGGTCCTTCATCTGCGAGCAGGCTTCCAAGCAACATTTTCATGACAGTCTATTAGGCAACAGGTGGCTTAGCAGAGGAAGTATTTTCTGTCCTCAGGATCTGCCTTCTGGGCATTGTTACAGACTGCAGCCTGCATAGCACTTCCAGAAGGTTCTGGGGAGCTTGTTCCAGCCTTGCCCTGCTTCAGGATCACAGCCCTCTTGAGCACAGTCCTTAAGTTCTCACATCTGTGGCTATAAATATCAGCAGATGGAAACAGCCGACTGCATGACCTGGATCGCCCCCCATCCAAAGCCAAACTTCCCAGAGCCTTGATACCACTCTGTTGCAAGTGTCATGATTACTCATGGTCTCCTCTGCACCTTGCCCCAGCGATGACTGCTGTGAGACTTCAGCAGAGGAAGTGGCACCCCTGTGTTCGTTAGGGCCCCTTTCTCCGTCAGGATGAGGACGAGACACCCACAGGAGAGAGCAGGACGGCAGGTGTTCGTGTGCTGCCCGCTCCGGTCCTGGGTTTACTGCCTCCTAGCTGTGTGCTCCCGGACAGCCAGCCTGTCTCCTTTACCCCTGAGTTTACGCCTTTCTACCGTCGGGTGGGCCTACCCAGAAGGATTTGAGAAATGCTAGTGAGTAGAGGGATTTAGGTACTTGGGTTTAGGTACATAGTTAAGGTACGTTATTTCTCATGTTTGCATGTCTCGTTCATCAGAATTATACCTTGAATGCTATGCTGAGCGCTCACTATTTAAAAGGACTGTGTGAGGAATTGTATGTTCTGTAAACAAAGTTCTCTCCTCTGGTTTGACAGTCTTGCAGAAACACATTCTCGTCTAGAAGTGAGCAGAAGACCCGGGTGTGGGTGAAAGTAGGTCTCACCGTCCTGGTGCATTTGCCCAGCATGCTTCCAGCTATCTGAGCCTCACTGGAGTCGCCCACCTGCTTTCTCTAATGCAGCTTTTCTGTCTTGGGGCTTTGGTAGGAAATAGGGATCCCAGGTGTCTTGTCTTCTCTCTTGACTCATTCTGGTTCTGTGCTCCAGAATCCCACCGTCCCGAGTGCCACCGTCTTCCTCTTCTGAATGACCTGGCTTCTCCAATGCCAGCACGCACTAACCCCGTCCTCTCCTCAGTGCTTGTAGCAGAGACCAGGGTAGCCGTCGTCAGAGGAGAAGCACACTTCGGGCCATCTCCTGTTCTCTTCCAGCCTCTTGGGACAGACTCTGCTTTTTGGTGCTCACACAGCAAGTGTGACTGAATTGTGCCACCATTCCCCCTTGCTGCTGATCATACATGTTGGCTCACTTCGCTCTGGGCTGGAGAGCTGTAGTGTGACTTAAGGGGGCTGAAACCTCAGAGCGGCTCTGGGTTCAGTGCTCCTAGCAACCTGAGAGTCCCCGGATGACCAAGGGCACTAGGAAACAGGAATGAATTGAGAGTGTAGATTTTCTCATTTTCTCCTTGTGTCTTTCATTCTTCGATACCTTGAGTAGGTGTGGAACAGATAAAAATACCAAACAACACAGGAATTGCGTGAGAAGGAAGACATGGCTCCTGGTTTTCCAGCTGCTGTTGGTCAGTCTTCCAGCCTCTTTCTGTTGTGAGCGCAGGGATTGGAGTGGCCTCAGTGACCACATGCTTCTTCTGCGTGTGGCAGTGTTCCATGTGCAATGGCCCTGGTTTGCCGTGTCTGGTAGTGTTGCACTGGGGAGATACATGGGCCCTGCTCTGCTGGGGTACTTCAGACAGTGCCATGGAGTAGCCTGGCACACACCTTCATAAGTGTCAGCCAAGACTCCATCTAGCAGCACTCCACTCAGAAATAACAGGGAAAGTGGCCTTGCTGTGAGGGGTTGCTCGTTGCTCTTTGGAAAACTTGTAGACTATTAGCTGCTTCTGATAGTTGGAAATGCTTGATGGAGATTGGGGGTTGTTCATTAGCGCTCACCGATAACAAACGTTAGCTTCCTTAGTACATGCAGAACTGACTACATCTCTTGCCGACAGATACCAGGTTATTGGCACTTCTGTGGCATCTGGTGAACAAAAGCAAGAGATTTTTAATGAGACACACCTGAATGAGCACTGTATTTCAGAGCCTTGGGCTGTTCCGAATGAGGAGGGGAAGCCTGGAACCAGTGTCCTTTCTGGTTACCATCAGGGTCAGGGCCTCACTCAGCTCCCTTAGCCGGTGCGGGCAGAACTGGCAGCTGGAACCCAGCCGCCCGTTGTGGAGCCAGGACTGGGCAGAGCACCGACCTTGACTTAACTGGGAATGTGGGCAGAGCTCCTCTCTCCCCGAGCTCCAGTTTGTCTGTAGGAGGAGAGCTATCAAGCCCTCGTTTCCCCCAATGTGTTCGTAAAGGGAACCTAAGAAAGCTGAGTTTAACTCCCGTAAAAAAAAGTGTAAGAGAATTCCATCACTGAAAGGGGGTGGGTTGCACTGTCTGCCGCTGGTCAGCCTGAGGGTTTCCAGAGGCCCACTGGGGGTGCCAGGCAGCAGCAGCAACATGCCCTGGGGGGCCCGGGAGGTTCATCTGTGCAGGGCTCTCTGCCAGGAGCAGGCCCCAAGCACCCACATCCTCACTCTTCCGTGGTCCCTCTGGGCGCTAGGTCCTGAGAAAAGTGCTCAGAGGTCCAACCCGTGTACGTGCCATTTGCTCTCACTGCACTTGGGAGCTTGGCACAACTGGGACAGCTCTTCGCAGGTGGCTTGTTCTTCCCATAGCCCTGAGAGCTGACGTATGCCTAGGACACTGTCCAGCCCTGGTGCTGTCTGCAGCATAAGGCCTGCATCTTCTCCCTGAGCCTCGGGAGGGCCAGCAGTGCTGGGGGTGGCCTTGGCTGGCCTTGTCACTGCTTTCATTGCTCTCCAGCTTGGGCCTCCTACATGACCAACTCTCCAACACTCATTGTCATGATTGGCCTGCCAGCCCGTGGCAAAACCTACGTGTCCAAGAAACTCACCCGTTATCTCAACTGGATTGGTGTGCCCACCAAAGGTAGGTGCGGTTGCTCCTGGAAGGGGGCAGTGACTTCCTCCTCGCAAGCTGCAGGAGGTACGGGCTCTCGGTCCAGGCCCAGGGGCTCCGGGCAGACACGTGCTCATTCCTGATGCCCATTTGCTCTGCTGTGCTCTGTTAATGGCCGGCCTCCTGGGCAAGGCCCGCAGGCCTTACCGAAGGCAGCAAAGACCTATTTGGTTTGATTTGCTTTGAGTGGGGGGCGGGGGGAACACACTCTAGCATGCAGGGCTTATTCCTGGCTCAGCATTCAGGGATCAGGCCTTTGAGTGCAGTCATGGGTTAGAGCCTGTGTCATGTCGGACCCCAACCCAGCTGATCCGACAGCCAGCGGCTGAGCAAATTGCCTTGCTGGACTTGGTCTGTGCTTGTTCCATGCGCTTGGCTGCTCCGACAGGAGCCACCAAGCTCCTTTGGCCGGTGCGCTGAGGGCGGGTGTCTCTGCAGTGTTTAACCTCGGCGTGTACAGGCGGGAGGCGGTCAAGTCCTATAAGTCCTATGACTTCTTCCGGCATGACAATGAGGAGGCCATGAAGATCCGCAGGTGAGTCTTGTTCGTGGGGGCAGGGCGCGGGGCCCGTGTCAGGTGGGTGACACCCTGCTGACCCCTGTGCCGAGGCAGGCAGTGTGCCCTGGTCGCCCTGGAAGACGTGAAAGCGTACCTTACCGAGGACTGCGGGCAGATTGCGGTGAGCCTTGCCGGCCCCTCCCCGGTCCCTCCTCCGGCAGCGCGGCCTCGTGGCTCCCTTCCTCACCCCCTGCTCACCTGTCTCATATGTCCCCGCACAGGTATTCGATGCCACCAACACCACTCGGGAACGGAGAGACATGATTCTGAACTTCGCCAAGGAGAATTCCTTCAAGGTGTCGATGCCGTGCCGGCGGGGGGCAGAGGGGGGGCAAGTGAGCACTGTGTGCAGTGCCCGTGCTGAGCCTTGGCTGTCAGGCCCTGTGATGGCGGAGGTCCCTTGGGGGCACGTAGGTGTGCATGCATGCGTGCAGCCCTGATGCCTGTTTCCTCCAGGTGTTCTTTGTGGAATCTGTCTGTGATGATCCAGACGTCATTGCGGCCAACATCCTGGTAGGTGCCCCCGGCACGGGGAGGGGGGCGGGGTGCCTGGGGCATGCCAGCTGAGTGACGGGAGGAGACAGGGAAGGGCTGCTCACCCTCACAGAAAGATCCAGGAAGGCCCTGTGGTCTGCACAGGTAGCTTCTGTGTCTGCTCCTGTCCGTGGAAGAGAGGATTCTGAGGAATGGAGCAAGGGTCTGCCTGCAGGCACCAAGACCAGCCCATGGGCCTGGCCCCTGTAAACCTGGGTGGGTCCTGGGTGGGAGGGTGGGCACTGTCCTAGGGCCCTGTGTGCAGGTGGTGCCCAGAGCAGCTCCGCCTGTGCCTGGGGATGAGCCCTGTGGGCATCATGGTAATGCTCTTCCTATGGATATGAGCTCCCAGGCTGTCAGGAGGCTTTGGGCCTGTTCAGACCCGCGTCCCTTCAGACTCCCTGCTGTCAGTGGTTGGGGTGTTAAAAGCATGTTCTGTTGTCAAGAACCTAAAGGATTAAGGTTGAAGGGTGTCTTGGGCCCGGGATAGTCTCGCTCCAATGAGGGCGGGGCCAGGACCCTCAGTGTCCCAGTCAGGGAGGGCCTGTTGGTCACCTGGCGCTGGGTCTGACCATCTCTGCTTGCCACGAGTCAGGAAGTGAAGGTATCGAGCCCGGACTACCCTGAAAGGAACCGAGAGAACGTGATGGAAGATTTTCTGAAGAGGATTGAGTGCTACCAGGTCACCTACCGGCCCCTGGACCCTGACAGCTACGACAAGTAAGACCGGCCTCATGCCGAAGCACCTTTCCACCCTGCTAAGGGGTCAGCTGTGGGTCTTCCTAAATCCAGAGATGTTGTATGCTCTCGGGGTGGGCTCTGCCTCCTCAGGTAGGCATGAGGGGCCTGCGAAGGATGACAAGAGGTCTCTGCCTGTGCCTTGGTTTCCAGGTCCTCACTCTTGCCCAGGGAGCCCCAGTGGAGAACTGGGATCCAAGGGCTGAGCTAGGGGCAGAGCTGGAGGGTGATCTGTGGCCATGTGTATGCATGTTCTAGTCGGTAGGAATGTGAGCACAGAAACATTCTCTGTGTATACACTTGACACATGCGATCTCTATGTGATGTGTAATGTTAACGTGAAACACACTGTGAGACGTGCATCTTCTCAGGATTGGTTGGTACGTCTTTTCTTGCCCTGGAAGTTTCTTGACCTGAGGGTGCAGTGTGCAGTGGACTTGTCTAAAGCCAGCACATCTTACTGGGTTCACTTTGGAAACAGCCATGCACATAGAGCCCTGTGACGGGGTGTGGCCAGGTTGGCTGACCTCTGGGTTAACTGAGAGTCTCGCCTGCCCTCAACATAGAGTAAGGGGTGCTTGAGTGGCCTGCTGTGAGTCCACTCAGTGGCTTGGGCATCTCCGTTTCATCATAGGGACCGTCCAGGGTTTGAGGTGTTCCTTGATGCAAGTACTGAAGACCCTTGCCTTGTGTAATTAGCAATTCTCCAGGCAGCCCAGAGCCGTGAGTGGATATTCTGGATGGAGGAGCAAGACTGTTCAGGCGGTAGAGCAGTATCACTGTGGGTAGCACCGCCTCTGCTGACAAGAGTCCTGTGTGCTTCTTAATTGCGTCGTTCTACCCTTGGTTTTTCAGAGCTTTATGAAGTAGCATTTATTTTCATAATAAGGACAATCCTGTGCTGGCTACAGGGTGCCTTTGGGTGTGGAGGGAATTTGCAACCCTCTCCCCGCACTTTGTGGGACCTGAGACCCGAGTAGTCCTGAGACACACACACACACACACACACACACACACACACACACACACACACTGCATCCCTGAGACCCCCGCCCCACACATGTGAGCAGCCCTGAGACCCCCCTCCTCAGACACTCAACAGCGCATGTCTCCCAAGTTGCAGCACACGTGCTCCGTCTGCTGGCTTCTCTTGGAGCTGGTTTCTGTGGGGGCTTCCTCCTCACAATGTGATGGCTCGGGGCTCCTCCCGTCCCTCCTTTCTTCCTCCGGCTCCATGCAGACCTGGGATCCATGGCATGGGTGTGGAGCAGAGAGGCCATTTGTCGGGGGGGCGGGGGGAGCTCCCTCCTTCTGAAACTCCAGGTTCTCACTCCTGGGACTTCTTTCCTCTGTCCCAGGGACCTTTCCTTCATCAAGGTGATCAACGTGGGCCAGCGGTTCCTGGTGAACCGGGTGCAGGACTACATCCAGAGCAAGATCGTGTATTACCTCATGAACATCCATGTGCAGCCCCGTACCATTTACCTGTGCCGCCACGGGGAGAGCGAGTTCAATCTCCTCGGGAAGATCGGGGGAGACTCTGGCCTCTCCGCGCGGGGAAAGCAGGTGCGTCTCCTGGCCCCACACAGCAGGCGGCGGACACCTCCGCCCCTCATCTTTCCCATGTTCCTGGTCTCAGACTGCAGGCGGACATGTGGGGCTGGGGCGTTTTCTTGCTCACTGATTATAGCTGTCTTGAAACCATTTCTGCTCTGAGCATTCAACTGTCACACACTTGTTGTGCAGGACATGTGAAGCCCATTTCAAAGCCATTTCTCTTAGGTTTATTCTGATTGTGGCACTTTGACTCAGCTGTGCAGTGCTCCTGGTTTACTAGTGTGTGTATGTTGGAGAAGTGGGGAGAGCTGACATGATCTCCATTCACACCAGTTTTCCCAGGCTCTGAGGCAGTTTCTGGAGGAGCAGGAGATCACGGACCTGAAGGTGTGGACGAGCCAGTTGAAAAGGACCATCCAGACGGCGGAGTCCCTGGGGGTGACCTATGAGCAATGGAAGATTCTCAACGAGATCGACGCCGTAAGTGGGGACTGACCAGAGCATTGTCTGGGCATGGCCATGATTTGATTCGGGTTCCTGTCTGCCTGGCCTCTCGCCAGCTAGGGCCCCGCCCCCCAGTGTGCACCAAGACCGTTGGGAGCGCCGAGGACTGGGCTGACCATGGTGGGGGGACCGGCTACTGACCACCGCTTTTGTTTCTATCAATGTCATTTGTTCCAGTATTTTGGACACGCCCTTTCCAACTGTCTTGGGTGCAGTACTAGCCTTTCCCCCCTCCCACCCCACCGTTTTCTTTCTCTGTGGCACCAGTTCTGAACGCTGCTCCAAACTTTGCATCCCTGCTTCTTTTTCCCCCATTTTTTGGGAGGTGGAGGATGGACCACATCCAGCAGTGGTCAGGGCTTACTCCTGGCTCTGCCCTCAGAGATCACTTCTGGTGGGCTAGGGGACGAGATGGGGTATTTGGGATCAAACCCAGGTTGGCCGTGTGCAAGATCAGTGCCTTACTTTCTGACCCCGGGTCCCTGCTTTTTTATCCCTTTGGCCCCACTGACCTCTTGGGGTGAGGCGCTGGCCATCAGGCAAGCTCCTCAGCCTCTGTGGCCCTCCCAGGGTGTGTGTGAGGAGATGACCTACGCGGAGATCAAGATGCAGCACCCCGAGGAGTTTGCACTACGAGACCAGGAGAAGTACTTATACCGCTACCCTGGCGGGGAGGTGAGTTCCCGAGCGCTTCTCGGGGCTGGGCATAATTCTGAGGGTACAGATGAAGAGGGGAACCGCGTGCCCATAGTCGACCCCGCTGGAGTGCATGTGTCTGTGCCATGGTGATGCGCTGGCTCCAGCTCTTCACTGCCGCTGCCCAGCTCACACAGGCAGTTAAGTGGTGCGGGACAGAGGTGCGGCTCCCCTCTGTGTTCCAGGGATGTGTGAGGTGATGGGGGAGAAGTGGGGAGAGGGCAGTGCTCGTGCTCCTCACATTCGCTGCCCGTCAGCCTCCGAGGGAAACTCAGGCTGTGTGCAGACCCCTTTGCCCGAGAGTGTCTTCTCTTTCTGATGCTGTCCCGAAGGGCCTGAGGGTTCTCGGGATGCCGAGCATGGAGTGGCCAGCGTGCACAGGGGCAGCCGGCGGAGGCCCCGTGTACCTGACTAGCCAGCCCCCAGCCCGCCCTGCTTCCCCGCAGTCATACCAGGACCTGGTGCAGCGGCTGGAACCCGCCATCATGGAGCTGGAGCGCCAGGGCAACGTCCTCGTCATCTGCCACCAGGCTGTCATGCGCTGCCTTCTGGCCTACTTCCTGGATAAGGGTGCAGGTGACATTGGCGAGCGGGGCAGTGTCCATGGGGAGCAGGTGGCCAGTGGCACTTAGCGCGCTGGCTCGGGGCGTGTTGCCGCTGGCAGCTCATCCCCAGCCACTTCGATTGGGCTGTGGGGGTGGTGCCAGCAGCCACTGCCCTTGTCCTCAGGTTTTCCTGCTGCTCCAGCTGCCCCCGGGCTGCCGTGGCCAGCCTGGGCTAACTGGCTGACCTTCCGGGCAGTGTCAGAAAAAGGGCTGAATGTCCCCACTTGTTACTCTGGCCAAAAGGAGAAGGTTGAGTGGAAGCGTCTCTGGTCCTTGCTCCGGCAGAGAGAGAGGATGCTCAGGCTGCCCCTCCACCCTTCCCTCACCCCTGCCCATGCTGGCCGGCCTGTGGGGACCAGACACTTATTTTTCCTTCACCTCTCCTGGGTGGCTTCCCTGGTCCTCACGGTTGGGGAATAGGGGAGGGAGGGGGTGCAGCACTAGTGGTGGTCCCCGAAAATCCAGAGCCCCTTAGGGTCTCCCACTTGCTTGGCTTGGTTTTGGCGCTGAAGCTCTGATCTCTGGCCCTGAGGCCCCTCACCGCTGACCCTTCTGCTTTCAGGAGAGCTGCCGTACTTGAGGTGCCCCCTGCATACCATCTTCAAACTCACTCCGGTGGCTTATGGTAACTACGCCAGGAGGCGGGAACGAGGGTGCTCAGGGTAGTTAAGTTTTCCTGGGGTTTGTCTAGAAGTCCAGGCCCGTCACTCTCTGTGCCGGTCAGGTTCAGTCTGTCTGCAGAGTGAGTGACGTATCGATGATGGGATTGTGTGGGGTACAGAGGTCCTTTAACCGACTCTTTCCCAAGGTCCTCCGGTCTTTGTTTTCTCAGGCTGCAAAGTGGAAACAATCAAACTCAACGTGGAGGCTGTGGACACTCACCGTGACAGGCCAGCTGTGAGTATCTCCCTGAATGAGCAAACATGGGCCACGCCCCAGACATTGACAGCGCCAGACTGGGACTTTCCTGTGTCCTAATGGAAAGCAGATCGACTTGGCGCCTGTTCAGTCTGCGTGCTCCCATGGGAAGGGCTGTCACTGCATCTGTCATGGTGTGGCTGTTTGACACCGAGTTTGGAGCCCTACCCCATCCTGTTAGAGCAGGGTCTAGAGAGAGCGGGGGACAAGGGGTGGGAGTGAGGGGGCAGAGCTGCTTTCCAGCTGCCCTGCAGGTCAGCCCAAGCAGCCCTTCTCTTGCCTGGGCCTTCTCTTCAAATAAGGCCCTCGGCGTGTCGCCCTTTGAGCTTCTTACTTCTCGGGCGGGGAGCGCAGGCCCTGCCTTGGCACAGGCTTGAGAAGGTGGTACGGTTGCACACGTCAGGCAACATTTGGGGATGACCATCTGGCATCGTTTTCATTCCTGTGGTGTCCCTCCGTTTCTGATCAGAACAACTTCCCCAAGAACCAAACCCCTGTAAGGACAAGAAGGAACAGCTTTACACCTCTGTCCAGTTCGAATACAGTAAGGCGTCCGAGAAATTACAGTGTTGGGAGCCGGCCCCTCCAGCCCCTCAGCCCTCTCCGTGCCCTGGACGTGCAAGAAGGGGCCAACCAGCCGAAGAACCAAGTCAGCATTCCGGTGGTGTGACCGTGTGTTCCCTGCAGCCTGCCTCCTGCCCTTGTCACTAATCCCCAAGGACCCCCGCGCTTGCACCTGCCCCCTCTGCCTCCCACCTCCAGCCCCAAGCCCGGGTCGGCTCCAGAATGAGGGGACTTAGCCACGCCACAGTTGGGGGTGTCTCCCCCACCCAGGGCTAGCTGAGCTGGACACTGTAGGATGACCCTTGGGGGGCAGAGGGCGTCTGGAGGACAAGGGGTGCACTGTCCCACCGTGCCTGGTCCTCCCCATTCTGGTGTTTAATCTCTGTTATTACGATGGCTAGGCCAGCTGGGGTGGGCGCAGAGCATGTTTCCCCCCTCTCCATCTCTTCGGGGTGTGTCTCAGCCCTTTCCTGCCTGCTGCCCACCCCACCCGTGGCATTGTGACGGGTGTGTCTGTCTGAGGAAGGGTGGCAGGCAGCAGGCCAGGCTCCAGCTGGCATCCCGGGAGGTGCCCTATGCAGGCATCTGTTCTCCAGCCAGGTCTTGTCAGGTGGACTCAGTGAGCTTGGGCCCAGTTCTCCGGCTCCAGCTGTGGCATTTAGAAATCCTCAGAGCCTCACCACCTTTTTGGCACTGTGGGGTTGAGGCTGAAGAGTGGGAGGGCTCGTTTTCCCCTTGCCTTCCTCCGATTTGCCTGGGATTGGGGTCTGAAAGAGCGTGTGCATTCTTCGTGTCCCTGGGACTGCGTCACTCCAGTTAGAAATGCACTGGGGGGTGTAGGGTGTGGAGATGTGGCAGGCCCTTGAATTAGGTCATTGGGAAACAAGGGGCATGGAGCAGAATGACGTTCTCTGGGGGCTGGTTTATTTAGTCTTTTAAGTCTGCAAGAGCCTGTTAAGAAAATAGGTGAGGACTTGCTGTACAAAACTGGGTTAGCAGTTTCTCAGATAAAACAGCTTAAAACTCTGAATTCTCGTGGTTCTGATGAGTCTGTTGTTAAGAATTAAGTGTGAGCAGATCGTAGGGTTGAATAGCGGCTCCTCGAAAGCAGGCTGCTGTGCTTTAATGGGTTAATCCAGGTTCCAGGGCCACCTGTAATTCGTCGCATCTGTGGGTGCGTGGAATCCATCACTGTTACCAACTGCCCTTAGCCTCCCTGTAGCGTGAGACAAGCTGCCTCCAGACCTTGGTTCTTTTGGAAGACAAGTGAGGGGAATGCCCTGCAGTGCTCAGGAGCTATTCTTCGTTCTGTGCTCAGGAGTGACCCCAGTGGTGGTTGGGGGTAGTACTGGGGTTGTAAGGCCAGTGCCTTGTACTAGCTCTCTGACCCCCAGTCCTTGATTCTTGCGTGTCCTATGGAGTGGTGCATGTGCTACTGCCCGCCTGGTTCTGTCCAGAATTCCATTTAAGACAGAGCTACCTGCTGCCCCTCTTTAGGCCTTACACGGTGTGGCCACCATGGCGTTCTTGCTTCCTGGGAAGGGAAGCACACATCAGCACAGGGAAGTGCCTTGCTCCAGGGGAGGTTGTCAGAGGAAATATGCGTAGTTTGTGATGAATGGCCACAGCAGAATGGCAGCAGGCTGAGAAGACAGGGTCTGGGAGCAGGTAGGAGGGAGGACAGCCTGGGAGTGTGTCCAGTCCCATCCAGGGCCACCTCGGCTGGAGTCTCTGGCCCAGCCAGACACTGACTTCGCCACTGCTCTGTGGTGAGGGTGGTTCAGCGCCAGGTTGTGAGGGGGGAGTAGAGGGATCTTGGACTGCAAGACCTTGGGGTCTTGGTTTGGGTCTACCTGCTCACGCATCTAGGTACCCATCTGGGCCCCAGCTGCAGACCCACATCCCCAGGCTCGTCATTTGCCTCCAGCTTACCAGTGCTGCCAGCTGCTAGTTTTCCCAGAAGAGGAGGCTGAGAGGGTGTATTTCATCACACAGCAGGAGAGTCTGACCCTTTCTCAGGAGGCCGGAGAGAAGAATCCAGGAGCAAGGCTCCAGGCTCCTGCCTCCTGCCTTCCCTTCAGGAGTAGGGTCCTTTCTTTGGGCTTGCGGGTCTCAGGACTCCTGACCCCTGCTTTCCTGGCATGTTGCTGTGTTTGTGTGTCCAGTCCTGTAGAGGAGGGGCCATTGTTCTCGTCAGCAGCCTGTGTCCCAAGACAATGTTGATTTAACTTTACTCTGCCTGTGAGTCTTCCTGTCTGATGAGTGGAGATACAGAGTGAGGTCTGCGTCCAGATGTTGACAGAGGAGTTGGCACGGTCTTTTCCCAGTGCCCCTTTCACTGGGGATCTCTAATATCCATGTGTTTGTGTCAGAATTGCTTGTGTACATTTCTTCCTGTACACAATAAATATTTGTTGGAGTGACAAAGTTGTCTCGTGTTGATGGTGATGTTTTGCCAGACACACAGTGCTGTTCACCTGCTGCTCCTTGGAGTAGAGGCGGGTTGGTTGGGGGTGAGCTGGGGGTACAGGCCACTCTGCAGGTTTCCCAGGCACTAAGTCTTTACGGCATTCAGGTCTCATCTGCTGGCCTCTCAGGTCCACATAAGGTGTGAATGACGACCTCAACTATGTTCCTGTGAGTTGTGTGAAGAACAGATAAATAAAATTGCTAAGTACTTTGAACCTATCAGAAGGCTTCTGGATTTTTTTGTTTAGCTTGGGTTTGCATTTTTTCTGACTTCCTCCCCTTTCCCCAAACCTTTGCCTCCTGGGAGGCAAGATCCTCAAGCAGCCTGGGCAGATCTGCACTGTGGGGCAGTTGGGGTGCTCCTACATTTCCTGGGGAAGAGGGGCTGGGTGTTAGGAAAGATCTAGAACTGCCCATGGCTCTCCAAGAACTGAGAAATGTGACCTTTGATCACACTACTCTGTGACCCCTCTGCAGTCCCTCCCTCCCTCTGTGAAATCTCAGCATTTCTGAGTGCCTCCTTCCTGTTTGTAAAGGGGTTGCAGTCACTGGGTAAGAGTGGTCACCACCTTCTGGGACAGGAACAAGAGGTGGTATTGGTTCCCTTTCCTACACCATAAGCCCTGTCATCACGATCTGAGCAGGAGCTCATGAGGCATGCAGACCCGTCCGTGTCAGAATCTACTGAATGGGATCTCAGGTCGATGTTAGAGAATGCTCTTGGAGGGGGAGGAGTTTTTCACAGAAAACATCTAACCTCTGCTTATGGGATGAGGCTGACCTCTGATCTCAGATTAGGGGCCACCCTCACTGACCAAGGTCTCCAGACTCCAGGGTCTCTGGCACAGTCTTTGGGCCTGTGGTTCCTGCACACTTGCCCTGGACCCTCCACTGCTTGAGCATGGAGCTATTGGCCCAGGTCAGGAGGGCCTGCCTAGCCCAGCGCCACTCTGAGTCTAGTATGAGCCCAGAGGCCCATGGCACTTCCCTTTGTGCTTGTGTGACACCCAGCAGTTGGTGTGTGCTAGTAGCTGGTGTACTGTGTGGGTGCAGGAAAGGGCCCTGGGTCAATGCTCCTCTCCAGTTTGCTGGTGTAATGTGCTTTTCTCCCTCTCTGGCTTCTAGGCAGATGCCGTTCCAGCCCTACATAGGCACTCCTCCTCCGCAGCATCCCTCCTGTCACTGTCCTGATGGTGTGGAGTCTGAGGCCAGACCTCCGGTGGGTGAGATCTGTGGGAGAGCACGGGCTGTCAGCTCTACCTTAGCGCGAGCCCAAAGCCAAGTGAGCACTGGACATTTGGGGGTATAAAGGCGAGTCCTGGAGGACCATGACCACATTCCGCCCCCTCTTGGAACCCACCTGATTTTGCTGTGCCTCAGGATGTCGGGCCACCCACAGCTCACTGTGATCACCTGTGCTGGTCTGGTTTGTGGTGGCCGATTTTGCTCCTCCCTGACGGTTCCCACCTGCCCAGGATGGCTTCCCAGCTGCCTGTTCTGCACCGCAAGTTTGAGTGCGCCTCTTCAGGATCGTTTTCCAGCACAGAGCCCAGCAGTGTGCGTCAACTGGAACACAATATGCATGTGTTTGCAACTGCTTTGTTGCCACATGGATACATGAAAAATCCAACAGGTCCATGGTGGGTCTTAGAGGGATTCGACTTCTGTGATATCTGGCCTCTTTGGTGCTCATGGGAGAGCCATGTCTGTAGCAACTTTTCATTGAGTGTTTCTTGTTTCAGGCCCCTTGAGGCCGGGATTTGACTACTGGTGGTAAATGTCTCCCAGATTCACATCCACGTCTTCCCTCTCATCCTGTGCCCTGGTGGCTGGGGTGGGTAACGTTTTTCTGCTTGCGAAAGGAGACCTGGAGGGGAAAACAGGCATCCTTGCCATCATGTGAAGGAGCCAGGAGCATCCATGGGCCTCCAGCTATGGACAGAGATACCCGCTATGTGGGGTCAGGAGACATGAGAGCCATGCAGTGCCTTCAAGAGCTGATGGTCCTCTGCTTTTTTTTTTCTCAAGTACCTCAGAATCAGCATAAGTAAGGAGGTGAAGGATGTGTACAAAGAAAATTACAAAACGCTACTTCAAGAAATAAAAGAGAGCACAAGGAAATGGAAATACTTCCAGTGCTCATGAATTGGGAGAATTAACATTGTCAAAATGGCAGTACTCCCCAAAGCATTATACAGATTCAATGCAATCCCTATAAGGGCACCCATGACATTCTTCAAAAAATTGAACAAACACTCCTGAAATTCATATGGAAAATAAGCCCCCAGTGAATAGCTAAAGCAATTCTTGGGTGGAAAAAAGATGGGAGGCATCGCCTTCCCCAACCTCATGTACTACAAAGTGGTAATAATTAAAATAGCATGGTACTGGAACAAAATTAGATCCGCAGACCAATGGGATAGAGATGAATACCCTTACACACACCCTCAAATATGTGGTCATCTCAGCTTTGATAAGGGAGCAAGTAATATAAAGTGGAGCAAGGAAAGCCTCTTGGTGCTGGCAGAACTAGATAGCTCAAGCAAAGAAATGGCCTCAGACCTCTACCTAATACCATGAACAAAAGTGAGATCAAAATGGATTAAGACATCTGTATCAGATCAGAATCCATAAGGTACATTGAAGAAAAGATCAGCAAAACCCTCCATGACTTTGAAGTTAAAGGTATCTTCAAAAATGAAATGCCACTGACCAAGCAAGTGGAAGCAAGAAATAAACAAATGGGACTATCTTAAACTAAGAAGCTTCTGCACCTCAAAAGAAACAGTGATGAGGATACAAAGACAGCCTACGGAGTAGGAAAGGATATTCACCCAATACCCTTCTGATAAGGGATTAATATGAAGGAAAAACAGGGCACTGGTTGAACTCTACAGGAGAAAAAAGCCCAATCCCATCAGAAAATGGGATAATGAACAGAAACTCACAAAGAGGAAACTTGAATGACCAAAAGGCACATGAAAAAATGCTCTTCATCATTAACAGAGAGATGCAGATCAAAACAACGCCGATCAACGCAGATCAAAACACCACAGAGACTGGCACACATCCAAAAGAACAAAAGCACTGGGTGTTTGCGTGTAAGTGGGGAGAAAGAGACTCTCCTTCACTGTTGGTGGGAATGCCGACTGGTCCAGCCTTTTTGGAAAACAATATGGACGTTTCTCAAAAAACTAGAAACTGAGCTCCCATTTGACCCAGCAATACCACTTACAGGAATATACCCTGAGGGTCCTCTGCTTCTACTGAAGACAAGTCTCCTACTTGAAACTTTGGAGCAGTAGGGTTTGCCAGGCCTCAGTGTGTTCTTTAGGCCGGATTGTTCTCCAGCCAGTGACTAAACATGTGATTCTCACACCTAGCCCTGGAGGATGTGTGGGAGCGCTAAAGGACATCTCTGTTTTTGAAAAATAGTGACTTTAGCTGTTAAAGCTTTCCCCTTTCACTTGCCCACTTGCTGAGTAAGAGGTTGAGGAGCAGAAGAAGAATTAAATACAGCTTTCTCGAATGGTTCTTAGACTATAGCCAAGCCTTGGGTCACTGCCTCAGATGTGGGCAGCTGGGCTGCGGGCAGTTCAGCAAGAGGAACCAGGTCTTGCTCTCCCTATCCACTAAGCTCCCCCAGACAGACCCACGCACATTGCTCCTCGGTGTACTTATGCACAGATCTCCCCAACATGGACCCACACACAGCTTTCCCAGACAGACTCCTGCACAGAAGGCCTGGTGGACCCATACCAGGTGCCACAGACACAGCCACGCACAGATCGACCCAAGTACAGAACTCCAGACGGCCTCACGGCATGGGGCTTTGCATCTGCACTGCAGTGATGCTGCTTGGCATCATGGGAACCATCTCCTGCTGATCACAGGCTGTTTTTGTTATTTATTCACTTGTCTGAGACATTCTTAAGTCCCCATGTTAGTGTTTGCATGTCTTTAATCAAAATGTAAATTAACTACTGTTGTCAGGTTTGTTGTTTTGTTTTTAGCTTTTTTTGTAGACAGGTAGCTTGAACTTGTAAGTCTAATGTTCTGTGTGAAATTAAAATTTCAGAATATCGGTTTTTGTCTTCTGTAAAAGGGTAATAACTTATGGCACAGTGGATTTCTTTTGGACACTTTTTATCTGTTTATTTTTATTATAAAGGTAAATCAAGAGATGAAATTCTCTGGAGAAAAGTTTATCTTCTAGGTAAATAAAAGTTTGCTAGACCATGTGAAGAATGTGCATTGCTTTTGTAATAAATACAATAAAAGTTATTTTTAATTAAAAAGTTTTTAAAATCACACAAAAGGTTATTTCATAAATCATATATGCACAAAATGTGAGTAGCCTTGTAAAAAATATGCTTGAAGCTAGCTTCTTTAAAATTATCCCCCAATTATTAAATGGCAATTATTAAATGGATGTTCTAACTAGTAATTCCTGTCTTTGTTAAGTTCATTAGGATTTCAAAGTGTTATCAGTTGGATATTTTTTTTAAAAGGAGGGACCTTTTATTTATGCATTTTATTTGTTTTTTGAGCCACACCCAGTGGTGCTTGGGGACCATATGGGGTGCCAGGCATCAAACCCAAGATGCCACATGCAATGCAAGTGCCTTCTCCTCTGTACTATTACTCAGATCTTTATTGCCCCCAGATATTCTGAAATTTCTGAATTTATTGGATACCTTTGACTATTGTGTAATCAATAAATAAGTGTGCGCACTCTGTTCCACCCATGTGTGTTCGGTGGCCTTGAGCTGCTTCCCCACCCCAGCCTGCAGTTGCCACCAACTGAAGCATGAAGGAAGGAACAGGGCCGCCAGGCTGGTTGGTATCAGTCTCCATTTATTCCAATCTCGGTCCCACTGTTTATTCCATTCTCTCCGCGGGCCTGTTCTCGTCTCACTGCGCGCCCCATTCCAGCCTCACACTGCCCCCCATTCCCATTTCCTGTCCCTCATGCTACTCTTCCCCACGCCCAGACTCAGTCTTGGTCTAGAGCCCAACCTCCAAGAGTTGGGGGTAGAAACTACACCTAGGTGAGATAGCACAATCAACATATGTAAAGCCCTTCCCGTCCTTCTAAGAGGAAGATCTCCTGCTAAGAGATTCCTAAGGACATACTTCTCCTTAGTCCATAAACAATCATCCTTTATTTACTTATTAATAATCTTTCTAGTCATTTTGTTTGAAAACAGATA